GACATTTTCATGCAAGGCAAATGGTATACACACACACCTTTGAGGCCTTAGTGTACCTGAAGATATAATCAATTAAAAATCAAGAGCATTTGGGACTGGAAAGATGGCTCAGCAGTTAAGAACACTGACTGTTCTTGCAGAAGACCTGAGTTGGAATCCCAGCACCCACATGGCAGCTAACAACTGCCCATAACTCCAGTTCCAGGGGATCAACAGCCTCTTCTGTTCTCTATGGGCATCACACGACACGGGTGCACTTACCTACATGCAGGCAATACACGAATACACATAAAATAAAAATAATAAATAGGGCTGGGCATGGTGGCACACGCCTTTAATCCCAGCATGCGGGAGGCAGAGGCAGGAGGATCTCTGTGAGTTCAAGGACAGCCTGGTCTACATAGTGAGTTCCAGGACAGCTGGGGCTACAGGGAGACCCTGTCTCAAAAAAACCAAAAAAAAAAAAAAAAAATTAAAGATCAAGAGCATTTAGTTGGGGAGATGGCTCAGCAGGTAAGAGCACTTGCTGTGCAAGCTTGAGGACCTGAGTTCAAACCACCAGTACCCATGTAAAATAAAAATAACAAAACAAGAGCATTTGGAACAGAACATCAGGTAAACGTGTGTGAGCCTCAGCCTTTAAATTCTCTCAGCAGATCACATCCTACAACCAACAAAATGCTTGTAATTCCAGCATATTCAAACATAAGTGGTGGTGTTGCTGTTTTAATGGCCAAAGAAATACATTTTCCTTTTCAACCAGCACATGTTTGGTTGCATAGGAATGCAGCACAGTGGGGCAGCGTATACCTAATATTCGAGGCCTCGGTTTAACCCCCGGCACCCGAACAACAGGCAAACAAAACAAGTCTCTGCTTCCTCCATGTACTAACAGTGTGTTCTGATAGTTTATATGCTGGTAATTGATTTTCTTAAACATGAAGGGTTTCATTTCTTTTTTAAAAAAAATTTTTTATTTTATGTGTATGCGTATATTGCCTGCATGTATGGAAGTGCACCCATGTCGTGCAGTGCCCATGGAGGTCAGAAGAGGGTGTCAGATCCCCTAGAACTGGAGTTATGGACAGTTGTTAGTTGCCATGTGGGTGCTGGGATTCGAACCTGGGTCTTCTGCAAGAACATTCAGTGTTCTTAACCGCTGAGCCATCTCTCCAGCCCCCTGGGTTTCATTTCTTTTTATTTTGTATGTGTATGTATATACCTGTTTGTGTGTATGTAGGTTGATGTCAGGCCTGGCTTTTACAGGGGTGCTGGGGATCAAACTCAGGTCCTCATATTTGAGTGGCAAGCACTTTATTAAGCCATCTCTCCAGCCCTTGACATTTTAAATTTTCTTTCATTTACTTCTTCTTTGTTCTTTCTTTTTCTTTTTTTCTTTTTTTTTGTGTGTGGGGGGGTGCTGGGATGGAACCAAGGACCTCCCACATGCCAGGCAATGATCCACTGCTGAGCCTCACCCAGCCCCTACCCAGCCCTTCTATCTGAAACAACCAAAATAATAGGCTCTCCAGCTGTGTACAACTAGAAATGTTCATTTCTAAAGCATAGTACGACTAAGAGAGGAATGTAAAATGTCTGATCTGGAGGCCAGAAGAGGGATTAAGTGTCCTCTGTCACTCCCTACCTTTTCCTTTGAGGCAGGGTCTCTCTTTGAACCTGAGGCTTAAGTTTTTTCAACTTGACTAGAAGCCAACAAGCCCTACAGTCCTCCCGTCTCCACCCCTGTTCTGTAGAGATCTATGACAGCCTTACTTTGGGTTTTGAATGCGTTTACTATGCATATAGCAAGCCAAACAGTAGCAGGTGGGGTGGCA